CAGGAACAGCTATTTTGTACAATAGGAGGTGTAAATAGCCTGTTGTGGCTGGGGAGGGAAAGTGAAGCGAGGGTAGGTCAACACACAGGCCACCAGAAAGTTAAGTACATTATATTTCCTTCTCTTTTAGCCAGAGTTCCATTTGTACAAATTAATCTGTGGTGACAAGTTCAAATCACAGTGTATCACTAAGGTGAGTATGAGTCTGTAAGTGCACACAGGAATTGGTGTTTATCACTGTGGATACAGTACATCAGTAAGATCCAGCACATTATTTCCTTCCATGCAGAAACCTTGTGGTTACAATACACTACAAAAAACTTAGAATCATTTAGTTCCTGGGTTCAAACACCACTGAAAACATGTTTTTGTAAATTCTTTCTTTATATACAGAATCAGAACATTGTGCATAGAATGAAAACGACTAGAATACATTACACATGTCCAATGATTACAGATCAAGGATACAGAAATAAGGGGGTTATAATCCTTGTCAGTTTTGTTGCTGTGTCCCCTTTTTCTTCACTTTCTGTCCAGTAGCCAAAATGCAGAAATCCCTAGTTATCACCCAGGTCACTGGAACTTCTGTCTCCATTTCCCCTCTGTTCTCCTCTATTTCCCCTCTATTTTTTCCTGGGTACAGCTCAACCTTTTAGGATTTGATTTAATTTTCACTCTGTGTGATAAGGGTCATCAGGACAAATAGAGAGGTTGATGCTCCCTAACATGGATACAGGCAAAAATAAATGTTATCCCTCTCCACTCTATCTAAACCTAAAAATAAAAAGTGTTGCCTTTAGTTACACTTTAAATAACTCATTCCATTCTGAGTATGGCATTTCTTTACTATGCTCAAAGAAGTATTAACATGTTTAATGGAATGGGAGTGGTCTGCGTACCACTGAAGCGTTGAATTGTTATCTATAAAATCCAGAATACAAGAGCACTGAGTCATGATTTAAGAGGGAAAAGACAGGAAGGAAGGGGAGACAGAGACAAAAAATAGAGTTTCCTTTGAGCTCGAGAAAGAAAGAGAAGACAAAGGTTTTTATTTTTTTTAGAATTTTTTTTTAACAAAGGGGGCTTTGGTGAGAGGGAAGAAAGAAAGAAAGAAAGAAAGAAGAGAAAGAAAAAAAAAGAAAGAAAGAAAGATAAGAGAGAGAGAGAAAGAAAGAAAAAAAGAAAGAGAAGAAAGAAAGAAAGAAAGAGAGAGAGAAAGAAAGAAAGAGAAGAAGAAGAGAGAGAGAAAGAAAGAAAGAAAGAAAGATAAGACAAGAGAAAGAAAGAAAGAAAGAAAGAAAGAAAGAAGAAAGAAAGAAAGAAAAGAAAAAAAAAAAAAAAAAAAAAGAAAGAAAGAAAGAAAGAAAAAAAGAAAAAAGAAAGAAAAAAAAAGAAAAAGAGAAGAAAAAAAAGAAAGAGAATTAGAGGAAGGAAGGGGAGACAGAGAGAGAAAAAGAAGGAAGGAAAGAGAAGACAAAGAGAGAAAAAAAGAAGACAGAGAGCGAGAGAGAAAGACAGAGAGAGAGAGAGAGAAAAAGAAAAAAAAAGAAAAAGGAAAGAAGGAAAGAAAGGAAGAAAAAAAAAAAAGAAAAAAGAAAGAAAGAAAAGAAAGAAAGAAAAAAAAGAAAAAAAAAAAGAAAAAAAAAAAAAAAAGAAAGAAAAGAAAAAGAAAGAGAAGAAGGAAAAAAGAGAAAAAGAAAGAAAGAAAGAAGAAGAAGAAAAAAAGAAAAAAAAAAGAAAGAAAAGAAAGAAAGAAAGAAAGAAGAAGAAAAGAAAAAAGAAAGAGAAAAAAAAGAAAGAGAAGAAAAGGAAGAAGGAAGGAAAGAAAAAAGAAAAAAAAGAGAGAAAAAAAGGAAGGAAGGGGAGACAGAGAGAGAAAGAAAGAAGGAAGGAAAGAGAAGACAAAAAAGAAAAAAGAAGAGAAGAAGAGAGAGAGAAGAAAGAGAAGAAAGAAAAGAAAGAAAGAAAAAGAAAAAAAAGAAAGAAAGAAAAAAAAGAAGAGAAAAGGAAAAAAAAAAAAAAAAAAAGAAAGAAAGGAAAAAAAAAAGAAAAAAAGAAAGGAAAAAAAAAAAAGAGAAAAGAAATATAAAAAAGAAGGAGAGAAAAAATAGAAAGAAAAAGAAAGAAGGAAAGAAAGAAATGAAGGAAGGGGAGAGAGAAAGAAAAAAGGAAGAAAGGAAAGACAGAAAAAAGAAAGAAAAGAGAAAGAAAAAAAAAAAAAAAAAAGAGAGAATTAGAGAAAGGAGAAAAGAGAGAGAAAAAAAAAAAAAGAGAAAGAAAGAAAGAAAAAAAAGAAAGAAAAAAGAAAGAAAAAAAAAAAAAAAGAAAGAAAAAAAAGAAAGAAAGAGAAGGAAGGAAGCGGAGACAGGGAGAAGAAGAAAGAGAGAGAGAGAAAAGGAAGAATGAAGGAAAGAGAGAAAAAAGAAAAAAAAAAAAGAAAAAAAAAAAGAAAAGAGAATTAGAGAAAGAAAGAAAAAGAGAGAGAAAAAAGGAAAGAAAAGAGAGAAAGAGAAAGAGAGAAAGAGTAGAAGAGAGAAAGAAAGAAAGAATCAAAAGAAAAAAAAAAAGAAGAAGGAAGGAAGGGGAGAAAAGAAAGAAAGAAAGAAAAGAAAGAAAAAAAGAAAGAAAGAAAGAAAGAAAGAAAGAAAGAGAGAGAATAAGGAAGGAAGGGGAGACAGAAAGAGAGAAGGAAAGGAAAGGGAAAGGAAAAAGGGAAAGGAAAGGAAAGGAAAGGAAAGGAAAGAAGGAAAGAAAGGAAGGAAGGAAGAGAAGACAGAAGAGAGAGAGAGAAAGAAAGAAAAGGAAGAAAAGGAAGAAAAGGAAGGGGAGACAGAGAGAAAAAGAAAGAAGAAAAAGGAAAAAGAGAATTAGAGAAAGAAGGAGAAAGATAGAAAGAAAAAAATGAGAGAGAAAAAAGAAAGAGAAAAAAGGAAGGAACGGGAGACAGAGAGAAATAAAGAAAGGAAGAAAGGAAAGAGTGAAAGAAAGAGAAGACAGCAAGAGAGGAAGAAAGAGAAGAGAGAAATAAAGAGAAGACAGAGAGAAAGAAAGAGAAGACAGAGAGAAAGAAAGAGAGATAAATAGAGAAAGAAGGAGAGAGAGAAAGAAAGAATTAGAGAAAGAAGGGGAGAGGAGAGAGAAAGAAAGAAAAGAGAGAACGAAAGAAAAAAAGAAAGAGAAAGAAAGAGAAGAGAGAGTATACAGGAGCCCACTGCAGCAGGAGAGGATAGGAGGTACGGTCAGGTGGCGCATAGAGGAACTGGACTGTGCATTTCTCCCCTGCCGCCAGCAGCTGAAAAGCAGGCATTCAGTGGCAGCAGGAGAGAAATGCACAGTTCGGTTTCTCTGTGTGCTGCCCGGCCACCCCTCCTATCCAGGCGGCCCTTGCCCACCGGGCAAATGCCCCATGTGTCCTATGGCCAGTCTGGGCCTGTTGGGGTCAAATTATATCCTGAGGAGAGGAGGGTAATAGAGAGAAAACTGGCAGCGCACCTTAAAGAATATGTAAACCCAACATTTCATATTCCTGGTATGTGCCTGCTGTACCATGTACTTGTATGAAAAGGTATCCTATTCTCTTTGTATTGGTTCCTTTGTGTGAAATCCCTGGTGTTGCTGCCAGTCTCTCTGCTTTCCGATTAAAAACTGACCACACTAAGCAGGAGAACACACCATGGTCAGTTCTCTAGCTGTGCTGGGAGTTGATCCAATAAATCAGGCATGTGCTGATATGCCCCCCCCCCCCCCCCCCAACTGCACAGCCTTTCACTGGGAAGATCTGCTGCATTTCCTCCCTAGCTCTTATGCAGCTGAGAACAGAGGGTATGTGATCAATGTGTTCACTTATAAAAAGTGGAAAAAATGTATTTATAATTATTTTTATAAGTATATGCAAATATTCTGCCTTTCATTTCTACTTTAAACTGAATAGGTTGCTTTACAAGGTGAGGGTTCACATAGAGCAGTGAAAAATTGGTATGCATTATTTCTTATCACACCACAATGCACAGATTTTTTTTATTTTTTTTTTTTTTTTAAGTCCGCAAACGTGCAACTATAACGAAAAAAAAAACCCGTAAGTGTTCACAAAAAAAGTGCAAGTGCAAAACACCACACGAAAAAGTGCACTTAGGGGTGTGCTGTGTCCTACCCCTAAAGGGGCTTGGACCGCTTACCCTGATCCCCCGGGGCACGAAGCTCCTGACGGGGACAAGGTTCCCAATTGGTCCTCCTGGCCAAAAGGCCTGGTGGACCACCGTTCCCTATGCCCAGCCGAAGCCGGACATCCAGTACTAGGCAAGGAGGCTCTCCCGAAGAAGAGCCTCCTAGGGATCAGGGGAGGAAGGAACCGTATGGCCACACATCCTCCCCCTAGACTTCAGGGTAGGCCCGAGGACCCACACCCTCCATCCGTGAAAAACACACACATAAGGCAAAGAAAAAAGTGACAAACGTGGGAGTGCATAATAAATAAATAAAGTAAAGTATAAAAAAATGGTACCGTGCCGAAATGTGCACAGACCAGGCCCTGAGGCCCGTAGCAAAAATTGCCCTGGACTTAGCCAAAAGACCTGGTCCTTAGGGCGCTGTGCAAAAAGAGGTGAAAAACAGTGGCCATGTGTCATCTTCACACCGTGGGGTCCCACACCCAAGTGTTACTAGTGACACCCCTGAGAGCGTCTTCCCCAGGGGGCACTGAGTTTGCGGACTTTTTGCGTCCCCAGCCCCTGGCCAGACCAAGGTAGATCCGTCCAAATCAGGAGGTACTGGGTCTTTCCAGTCTTCCCAGAGGAATTACTCCCGGGGCCCCAGCTTAACTCGTGGCGCTCCCCGGTTTCTGTCCCTCCGGTACTAGCCTTCCGGACCCCCATCATACCAGTGAGGGTACTATACAACAACCATCCCCGCAAAGCTAGAATGGTCGGGAGCACCCCCACTGGACACTGATAAGAACAGATACTACACTTGATCTTAGCCAAAAGGCCGAGAAGCGATACACAGATAGTTTGCATCTTTGTTGCAATGCACTACCACACAAATATGTTTTTGCACTGCTGCCTAGGTGCATTGGGGTAGTATCAGGGGCGGACTGACAACTCATGGGGCCCCCCGGGCAATAGGAGATCATGGGGCCCCTGTGTCCTTGCCCAAACTCAAAAAAGCCTATGAAAAAGGTACCAGGGCATCTCATGGGGCCCCCTACTGAACCCGGCCCTCGGGCAGTGCCCGAGTTTCCAAATGGTCAGTCCGCCCCTGGGTAGTATTCAGAATGTTGCCACATGTTACTGCAATGTGCAGAGTGAATGTGAAGACAGGCTATAACCAATGTAGAAACACAAAAGAGCAATGGCAGAAAAAAAAAGTGGTCTATTAACCACCTGCCTACCAAGCACTTTTACCCCCTTCGTGTCCAGGCCAATTTTCAGCTATGAGCACTCTCACACTTTGAATGACAATTGCGCAGTCATGCAACACTGTACCCATATGAAATTTTTATAATTTTTTTCACACAAATAAAGCTTTCTTTTGGTGGTATATAATCGCCACTGGGTGTTTTATTTTTTGCACTATAAATTAAAAGAGCAAAAAAAAAAAAAGTGAAAAAAATTAGTTTTTTCTTTGTTTCTATTATAACATTTTGCAAACAGGTAATTTTTCTCCTTTACTGATGTGCATTGATGAGGCTGCACTGATAGGCAGCACTGATCGGCTCTGATAGGCAGCACTGATGGGCACTGATGAGGTGGCACGGATAGGTGGCACTGATGAGGCGCCACTGGTGGGCATTGATGATGCTGCACTGATATGCAGCAATGATGGGCACTGATAGGCGGCACTGATGGGTGGCGCTGACTGGTGGCATTGACTGACAGCGCTGACTGGCGGCACTGCCTGGCACTGATGTGCACAACTGCTGGGCGGCACTGATGGGTGGCACTGCTGGGCACTGGTATATGGCACTGCTAGGCACTGATCATCAGTGCCCTGATGATCAGTGCTGATCTACTCTGTGACATTTGCTGGTTATCAGCAGTACTTTCCTCACGCTGTGACAGCCTGAGGAAAGTGCAGCTGATAACTGGCATCTGTATTTACTACATGATCTGCTGTGTCATTGGACACAGCTGATCATGTGGTAAAAGGCCGCTGTGATTGGCATTTTACCTTATCATGTGATCAGCTGTGTCCGTATGACACAGCGTTCATGAAGATCGCCAGGTGAGTGCTGCTGGCGGAGGGTGTGTTCTGGGAGGACATCATGTGATGCCCTCCCATAATTGGACAACCGAGCTGTAGCCATCATTCGGCTATAGTGCGGTTGTGAAGTGGTTAAAGTGGTATTTAACCCAAAACTAAACATGTACAGTGGGGCAAAAAAGTATTTAGTCAGCCACCAATTGTGCAAGTTCTCCCACTTAAAAAGATGAGAGAGGCCTGTAATTGGCATCATAGGTAGACCTCAACTATGAGAGACAAAATGAGAGAAAAAAATCCAGACAATTATTGGATTTGGAAATAATTTATTTGCAAATTATGGTGGAAAATAAGTATTTGGTCACCTACAAACAAGCAAGATTTCTGTCTCTCACAGACCTGTACCTTCTTCTTTAAGAGGCTCCTCTGTCCTGCACTCATTACCTGTATCAATGGCACCTGTTTGAACTTGTTATCAGTATAAAAGACACCTGTCCACAACCTCAAACAGTCATACTCCAAACTCCACTATGGTGAAGATCAAAGAACTGTCGAAGGACACCAGAAACAAAATTGTAGACTAATACAGCCATCACATCTAAGAATTGGTAAGCTGCAATATAATAAATGTTTGTGTTTGAGTTTGTTACTGCTTTAATTTTTTTTCTTTGTATTTTTTTCTTTATTTTTTTTCCTGAGTATAGATTTTTTGCTTGCTCAAAAATTTTTGCTTAAATTCCCCCTATTTGAAAAGATACTGAAATATGGGAATTTCAACACACAGAAACACATCACAACCATTTATTTTTAATGTAAGGACCACATGCACGCTGCCACCTCCCACTATTTGTATGCATGACCTACAGAACTGCAGGCCTTTGTGTGCTATGTTCCTGTGTGACCCTAACAAAAGACTTTTGCAAAGTCGAACTTTTCTGGCACATCATCATGTTTGCTTGACCTTCAGGACAGCTGTTTACTAGCTGTAACAACCAGGGGCAGACTGACCATTTGGAAACTCGGGCACTGCCCGAGGGGCCCGGGGTCAGTAGGGGGCCCCATGAGATACCCCTGGTACCCTTTTCATAGGCTTTTTTGAGTTTGGGCAAGGACACAGGGGCCCATGATCCCCTATTGCCTGGGGGCCCCATGAGTTGTCAGTCCGCCCCTGGTAACAACTTTGTTTCCTCCACAGTCTTTTTTTGCTTACAATCAAAGGGAGTTACAAGCTGGCTTTCTCTGATTCAACCTTTTCCAGTGGGACAATAAGGATGGTGCTTATAAAACACTCTATACTTTTGTTACCACAACATAGTATACTGTATACAATAAAAAGCAATTTTGTAATGTAACTTGTGGACTACATTGTATAAACGTTGTGAAGGATTTAATCTAAGACCCCAAGATGTTTATATCATTTGCTGCACTAAAGCTGGCCATACACATGCAGATTTTCACAAAAAAGTCATACAAAAATTCTTTGAATATTCGGTGAATGGATGAATGTCGTTCGAAAATTGTCTTTTGCTTTTAACATTTGAGTTGGATGGATGTAATTTCTGAACGGTAACCACATATACTGGCCGAAAATTTGTTTGATCGAGAAAAGTTTTCCTTCCTACCCCTTCGAATTTTCCCATCGATTTCACCTTACTAATGATTAGAAATTCAAACGAATATTCTTGAAACAAAAATTCTTGAATGGAAATCTATACGTGTATGGCCAGCTTAAGTGCCAATAGTAGTACTGTATTAGTAGCATTGACATCCTAATAATTCCACTTTGAACTCATACGAGCAGCTCCTGCTGTAATAGTCACTTAGTGATCATTCAGAATAACATTTTAGAACTGTTATAAAATGCATATCTTTGTAGCTCTGTTATGAAGATCATATGCTTGTTTTATGATGTTTGTAAACAGAGGAAACTAATGTAGTAAAGAGAACAATAATAATAAAAATAACAGCAAACATAATATCATAATATCTGGTTTTATGAAAGGCTCCTTGCTATTTAACCTAAATTACCTTTTCTTCTTGACATGTTTGGTGTTTATTATGTTTTCTTTTTTTATAGTGATGTTTTTGAAAATTATGACTTTTAACCACTTGCCCTCCAGAGGATTTACTCCCCTTCCTGACCAGGCCATTGTTTGCAATATGGAGCTGCATTACTTTAACTGACAATTGCGTGGTCAGGCAACATTGCACCCAAATGAAATTTGTAATTTTTAGTCACAAATGGAGCTTTATTTTAATGGTATTTGATTGCCGCTGTATTTTTTTATTTTTTTTTTAACAAAAAAACAAAAAAAGACTGACAATTTTGAGAAATAAACAATATTTTTTACTTTTTGCTAGTAAAAAAATTTTAAAAATCAAATTTCATCATAAATTTAAACCAAAATGTATTCTGCTACATGTCTTTGCTAGAAAAAATCCCAATACGTGTAAATTAATTGGTTTACGTGAAACTTATAGAGTCTACAAATGGCATTATATACTGTGTACTGGAATTTTATATTTTTAATTTTTATACTAGTAATGGCGGTGATCAGTGACTTATAGTGGGACTGCAGCAGGCAGTCACTGACATCTCCAGTGACACTAATACAGTGATCAGTGCTCATAAAAAGCACTGACACTGTACTAACAACACTGGGCAGGAAGGGGTTAACATCTGGGGCGATCAAAGGGTTAACTGTGTGCTGTTTTACAGTGTAAGCACAATGCTTTGTATTGCTCTGCTATGCAGAGCAATACAAAGCAGAGTGCTAGAGCTGAGAGGGGAGAGATCTGTATTGTTTACATATAGACCTCTCCCCCGCCAGTGATACTCAGCAGTCAAGGTCCTACCTTTCTTCAGAGCTTGTGCATCTCCATGTGCTGCATCCATCTTGGGTTTCTGCAAAGCATGGTGGGAACCTTTATGCCTTCAGGCTTCTGCTGCTCCTCCTCAGAAGGGTGTGGTTGAGCATATTTAAACCTGCTGTCTGCAAGTGCTCTCTGCATTCGTGTCCTGTATGTTTCCTTGTTGCAAGCTCTTGTTCTGTTCTCGTTGCTCTCCTGGTAACCGACTCGGCTTGGACAAGACTATTCGCTGCTTTAACCCTTTACCTGACCTCCCGTTGCTGAACCCGGCCCGTGACCTGAGTATTCTTTTCTTACCGTCTAGTACTGTCTGCTCCGTTGTTATTGACCCGGCCTGTCTGTCTACGCTACACGTGTTCCCATCTAGCTCCCACCAGCTGTACGCCATTGGCGGCAGTCGTTACCGCAGCTGGGGTAACTCGGGGGCTGCGACCTGGTCTCAGGCTGCGTCAAGTCCATCCCCACCATCAGGGGCCCTGGTGAAGGGTAGCCTGGGGCTTAGACTCCGCGCCCTGAGGGACTCTGGTCTGTGGGTAGTGGCTGTCGTCAGTCGTGGCGTGACCGTACCATTAGGCCTGCCTGCCCATTCCATCGTTCCTGCCCTGACATCGGCGATCGCCTGGTGCTGGCGGGGAGTCACTGGCCAGGACCTGGTGATCGACAGCTGAAGCTGTCACTGGCAGAGCGCGCACACCCCCTACCAGGAAATGAAAATGACGTATATATACGTGATATTGCGCAGCCGTGTCGCCCTGTAGCAGTATTTCTGCTATAGGGCAGCAGGCAAGCGGTTAAAAATACTTTTGTTTGCGAATAATAATGTCATCAAGGGTTGTAACATAATTTTATCACTGAGATAAATGAGCAAAGGTGAAAGTCCTTAGAAGGGCCAAGTCACAGGCTAAGGAGCAGTCTGGCCTTCATCAGAGCCCCATCTAAGAAGTTATGGGTTTTGCTACTGCTGATTTCCAGGTTGCGTCCCTCGGACTCACCCAAGAAGGCAGATACCAGAGACTGAGAACAGATATACTTAGGATTAATAGTAACAAGCAGAGGTGGACTGACAACTCATGGGGCCCCCGGGCAATAGGGGATCATGGGTCCCCTGTGTCCTTACCCAAACTCAAAAAAGCCTATGAAAAAGGTACCAGGGGCATCTCATGGGGCCCCCTACTGACCCCGGGCCCTCGGGCAGTGCCCGAGTTTCTAAATGGTCAGTCCGCCCCTGGTAACAAGTCTCCTGTAGCACTAGGATGCTGGTTTCAGAGGACAAGTCTGCAGAGTATAGGAGACACGTGTTCAGAGATTGGATGCAGAGTGCTTAGTTAACCACATAGGTGCTGATTGGAACACACAGGGAATCACACAGGGACTGGTTGCAGGTAGCAGGCTGGAATACACAAAGAATCACCCAGAAACACTGGAGACATGCTCAGGAAGTCACTAGGAAAGATGGGGGGCTCGGCTGCTATCATGGACACATTACTAGAACACCAAGCAGCACGTAAGACAGAGCCTGGCCATGGATTCGCTGAGGTACCAGCAGTTGCTGATTGACTGCAGGCCAACAACCTCATATCGGGGGAAAAACAGTGCTGGAGTGTGAAACATGTGAGCATGACACTGATTTTCAAGAAGAGACAGGAAAATGTTGCTTATTTATAGGCCCATGCTGGGTTGTTGTGTACACCTTTTGCCACCAGAAATGGAAATTCCTGCTCATTAGATTGGTCTTCTAATTTTTTCCAGAAGTTCTCTTGTAAAAACTCTGAGACTGGTTATGTCATTCTGATAGGCAGACATGCAGTCAGGAAGTAGGTAATGATTGGAATTCATGGGTCTGTTTCAACAGATCATCTGCATATAAAACTCTACACTGAAATGTACTAAAATTCATGTACTGTGTATAACTGACCTAGGGAGGACTGCTTTTTTTTCCAAAGTAACTTTAGATTTTTTTTCTACATGACCTAATGTAAAGAGGTAGGATTATGTTCAGGTAAATCACTGTCTTTATTGCCAATGTAATGACAATAAAGTGGGGTTTAGCACTGAATCACAATGATCTCTGTAAACAGTCCACATGACTAATGTCATTTTTAGGGGATGGTCACCAGGTTATTTCTAGGAACAGATTATTGAATCAAACAGAAAGCCTTCTATTACAAGAAGTCTATAAAAAGATTCTGCCTCCTGGCTAATTGGGGGCCAATTCATTCTGTTTTGTGTGGAGTTTGTTTCATATTTTGCTTCAACACCCTTATTCACATCACCATAGAACACTTTTTTTTTTAGATACGTTTTTTTTCAGATAAAAAAAAAATCTAGGGTGGCTTGGTGGCCAGGGAAGCCATCCACACTTTAATTTGCCAGCCTCCCGTGTCTTAAGGTTTCATTTACACCAGTGTTGCCCTCTTAAAAATTGATCTGCAGTGGATTGCTTTTCAGAGAATGTTTGACAGGCAATGAGAAGGTGTTATATCACCTCATCAAAGCCTGTTTTAAATTTTAGGAGTCCGCGTTGCCGCACCCACAACTGCGTGCATTGCACATGTTTGTGGGACAGTTGCGGCATTGTCCCTTTCACCGAACGCGACAGATGAGGTAATGTTTGCCGCACTGCAATGCAAGACATTGAAGTTACAGCATGTGTATATCCCCATACAGCTGCCTTTGCAGCTTGGGGGGAGGTAAAAACAAGGCAGCATAACTCTGGTGAAAATTTTTATTTTCCCATGCAGTGGGACTGTGCTCGCACTGCATGGGTTAAGTGCTCATTTTGTCAAAGGGCTCAGGGATAACCTGTACTTACCCTGTCCTCCGATCTAACATAAAACCGCTCTCCCCCACGTCCAGCAAGTGGACTGTTCCTGCCATCCTCACATCTGGAGCCGGTCTATGAGTGTGATGACGTCAGGAACAGCCATTCACAAGACCACTAGTGTGACGGGGGGGGGGCAGGAGTGGCAGGGGCCGGTCTTGCACTCAAAGGATAGGCGTTAGGTACTTATATCTTTACTTTCAGAGCCCATAGGAAAAAATGAGCATATAACCCATGCAGTTCGGGCACAGCCATACTGCATGGGAAAATAAATTTTTTTCCCAGATTTCTGCTTTAACAAGCTGGAATTTCATGTGATGTCTCTTATCCGTCTCCCTGCAAAGCTTGTTATCTATGAAAACTTCAGAAACAATGCAATATACTGGCCATCCAAAATTGCCACAAGCAAACTCTAAACCGTTTTGTCTCAGTCTTTATGATATCCTTTTTCACATCTCAATATAACGTCTCTCCTTATGTGTCATATTACTTGCTACTACATGCTACTAGCCATTCTTTCAATGGCAACAAGTCACAGATAGGAAAGTTCACATACAGTCATGGAAATTCATAAAGTGTGTCTCAGTTTCCTGATGGGGAACTGAGAGACTAGTTCCCTGTCAAGTCTACCTGTCAGTTGATTGTCAATCAAATGTAAAGTGGACCTAATTGTAAAGTAAACTGTAAGTTCTTCATCAGGCTCTGCCTATCCGTTGACAAATCACTTCCCAAATATGAGCATTGCCACATCTGTGTAATGACATCGCTACTATTCCCACCTCTTTGCGTACATTTAGCTATCAACCAGAGAATCTCATGGCTGACAGCTGAGTACTGTGCAGGAAGCTGTCACATACAGGACAGCTTGACAGCACAGCTTTAAGCACTGTACTTCTGTATGCCAACTCAGAACTGGTCTTAATTGCCACCAGCTTCCCAATCTGAGAACTGATGTATTCCTTTAAGACTCTATTGCTGCCAATAGCAATAGATTCTTAAAGTGGTGATAGTAAGAGCCACCTGAATTTGCCACACGTGTTGGTAATGCTATCAAAAGTGGCGCACATACTTGCCTGAATTAGGTGCAGACAACTTTTATGGAAATTACCTTCAGAAAACTGTTGTAATAATTTTTATTGAACTCCCGAGAATATGTGTTTCTCAGCTGTATATTATTTGCCCCTTTTGAGGTTTACTCGGGAGCTTGCTGAAGTCCTTCACAAATAGTTAAGCTATTGTGAGGTGTTAGTTTACCTTGTGTGTATGGTCTTGCAGTTGCGTTTTTCTTTTGCCTTAATCATGTAGTTGAGGTCTTGTGCATTCAGCTTTCACCTAGCTCAGAATATATTTTTCCTTGCAGTAACAGTGGATTCATGATCTTTGTCATGTGGTCATCATCTTTGTTGTTGTACATACAGTATATCTGCCTTGTTCCTCTAAGGAAGCACTGGGCATGTAGGTAACATGGTGCAAGCTTTTAATTTTCCCAGAAAAGCACTGTTTTGTCTCTTTTTGTGTCCTGCAGGGCCTACAACAACAGTATCATGAAATGGACTTGCCAATAGTGGTGGGACTCACCTGCCTTGTGGGCTGCAGTACCAGGGCTGGCCAGCGGGTGCTCTCAACAACCAGAGGTTCACTTCGGCAATTAGCCATCACCTGGGGCTGATTGCAGGTGGTGTATTTTAGGGATGGCCAGACCTGCAGTCTGTGCCTTGGTGTGTGTTTTTCCATGGGCCCCTGTATCTTGTAACCTGCATTCCTGTTCCTGTTTCTGCCTGACTTGTTGCCGACCCTGCCTGATCCTGACCTCTGCTGACTTCTCCTGTTTTGATCCCTGGCTTGTGACCCTGACCATTCTCCCTGCCTGCTCCTCCTGTACCTACCTGCCTGATAGTTATTGACCCGGCCTGCCTGACTACGTTGTGCTCTATATGTGTATGTACCTGTGTATCTGTATTAGTTTAGGTTTGGGTTTGTTTCACCTTGTTGTATGTATTTGTGTTAGTTGGGGTTTGGTGCACTGCGTTTATGTTTGTATTGTTAGTCTTAATAAATTGTCTTATTTATACCATATCTGAAGCTTGCGTTTCCCTGTGTCAGTCCACACAATTCTGGTCACACCTGCATCCCTGACAAACAGCTACTGGGCTTCCCAGACAATTCAGATGCTTCTCTGAAGCAGCCAAAGTTAACAAATGTGGCAATCATGAAGTAACTTAATTTATCCATTAAATAATCAAAGACAGTAAAAAGTGATTAAATGAAAAAGTAAAAGCTTGTGAGCTGCTATTTAAGTAACAAAACCTACATAAGTGCTAATTGTGAATCGCATGCACCTAACACATACTCATACTAATGTGCTAAATCAATAATATATACCATAATGTGCCGCGCTTCATTTAAAATTTTGCATCCAATTGCTATTACTTATGTTGCATACCACAATAAATAAAACAATTATATGAAATATGAAAAGATGAATAAAAATGAATAAAAAATAATAAACCAGTTTCAAATTCCAATAACAGTGTCCATATAATTATCAAAAAAAGTCCATACTGTATATGAAATTTCTTCAAACTTGCATAGTTCACTTTAAAATATAGTAACCCATGCTTCTAAAATAAATATTTTGTGCGGAAAACTTGCATGGATGTGCTCCCCCAATGGTTGTGCTCTCACCTCAGGTATATGACCAAACCGTTAAGTGAGGTCATATAACACTTGTGTCCCTTTATATGGGCCAGAGTATGGATGAGATAATATCTTGCTGGAATATAGAGGAATTAATTAATTCCTCTATATTAACCACTGTGGAAGGGAAGATTATCATTTGAGTGGAGAAGGACCCCAAACAGCAATATATCATCTCATCCATACTCTGCCCCATTTAAAGGGACACAAGGGTTTTATGACCTCACTTAACGGTTTGGTCATATACCTGAGGTGAGAGCGCAACCGGTGGGGGAGTATGTCCATGCAAGTTTTTCCGCACAAACTATTTTATTTTAGAAGCACGGGTTACTATATTTTAAAGTTCACTATGCAAGTTTGAAGAAATTTCCTATATGGACTTTTTTTGATAATTATATGGACACTGTTACTGGAAATTGACACTGGATTATTATTTTTTTATTAATTTTTATTCATCTTTTCATATTTCATATAACTGTTTTATTTATTGTGGTATGGAACATAAGTAATAGCAATTGGATGCATATTTTAAGTGAAGCAAGGCGCATTGTGGTATATAGTATAAAGTGATACCATTCTATTACCCAGTTTCAGGTACCACCTGATTCTTCAACAAAACCCTAAAAAGGTCTGCTAGAAGCTTCCGAAGTTGTTTTTACCAAACAGGAGAAGGAATTCTTAATCAGGAGGTTGTGATTTCAGTCTAGTTCAGCAAATTATTAGGAACATTTAATTCTCAAAAAATAGCACCAAAG